TAGTAAAAGAAAAATGTGCATTCACTAGTTGTAGAAGAGGATCAGGATTTAAAGAAGAAGAAGAAGAAAAAGAAGATGCATTGTATACTCAGCCCATTATATAAAGCCAACCAAGCTCAAGATCATTGAATCACTTCTGACTCCTGGCGACCCCGTAGGACAGCGTAGAACTGCCGCAGTGGGTTTCTGCGACTGTAATTCTCAAGGGAGTGGAGTGCCTCATCTTCCTCCCGAGCTCAGAGTGCAGAGCAGAATAAACAGCCGATCCTCTGGAGGTCTGACAGCTTCAGCTCCCCTGCTCTCTCTACACTCACCATGAAAACGCCCTCAGAAGTAGGCAGCGAGGCTTAATGAGTCAGTGAGGAGCTGTGAGCTCCTTGTATAAAAGATGAAAAGGAATTTCAAATAGAATGACTGTAAAATGATTAAAACTTAATGTTCTTTAAAAACATAGGTATCTAGAACAGATGTGTTGGTGACACATCTAGTATCAATTTTTAAATTATTTTGTATTTTGAAGTTAAAAATAACAATAAATTCTAGGAAAGATTTAAAAATGCATCAAGCAAACTCACTTGACATTTATCTTTGCCTTGGAAATGATCCGCAGGACTAGGTAGCCACAGAGAAGTTCTAGTTACTTAGACAACAGGACTTCCTTTTAACCCTGAATACATAAAATATTTATTTCATGATAATAAAGATAGAAGGATCCCAAATTAGACTTCTCTCCATCCTTGGGTCTTCTATTCCATGGTATCTGCACAGTGCAGAGCATTAATTACTGTTTAAATTATTTCTTCTATTTATTCTTTATAAATGTAATTTAGTCTTCTCAATGTCAATTAATTAGGAAAAAGTAGAAACATACAGAGTTGAATTTTTTTAATAATCAGACGTATGAATATGAAAATAAGCATTTATTTTGCCAAAGTGTTCTACAGTTCCACCATTTCAGAAAAAATGGTTCGATCACAAAACATTTTAAATAACTTACTTCCCCAGTGTAGCTCACTGACAAAGTTTCAGACAGTCATCTTTTGGTGCATGTGTGGATGTGCACACGCACACATGGATGAGAGAGAGGAGAGAGAGAGACACCATCACGGAGCACAACAGGAACACGTGTTTTTGTTAGATGCTATGGAGTCAGCGCCGACGCGTGGCAACCCTGTGCACAAGAGCACAAAGTGCTTCCTCATCCTCGGCCCCACTCACCATTGCTATGTATCGAGTGGTAGAGCTTGCACACAGGGGAAAGTGCTGAAAACTTTTTAGACAGAACCAAACACCCGGATGCAATCAGTGGCAGGGTCTGGGGGTTCGGGTCTTGAGGGATAAGAAGGTCAATTGCATAACCATTCACAAAGACAATGTTCTACATCATCTTTTGGTGGAAGGGACTGTCGTCTTAAAAGGCTGTGACTATAAGTCACGGAGGTGACTTTATCCTATAAAGTGACACTATTGGTCTCTCCCCATTGGCAGGAAAGAAACCCAACTCAAACTAGACTGATTGTCATCAAGTGAAGAACAGCTCCGGTGAGCATCTGAGACTGTAACTCTTTACAGGAGCAGAGCAGCTTGCGTTTCGAGTACAGCCTGACACTGAACCCACTACACCACTAGGGCTCCTTGGATAAAAGAAGAGTCGTGAAAATTGGAAGCCATGTGAAACGATCAGCCCAGTGGACTACACAAACATCAGCTTCCACCATAGTGAGACCGGAAGCACATGGTCCCGGGCTCCCACTGCCAACCATTGTGAAAAGGGGCACATTATAAGGTCCTGAATAGAGTGCATAAAAAAGGCCAGGCTTACTAGTTGGAAACAGAAATTGGTAGAATCTCCAAAACAATGATTCTCACTCACCCTTTGGTCTGGACCTGAACTCACCCTGAGAATTCAATTTCAAGCCAAGTTATACACCTTCGGTGGATCAACCATTTGAAATCAAAAGGGAAGCATTTATCCCAGAACACAGATCAGAGGATTAGGAAAGGAGGCAGCTGCAAAGAGCGAACACAGAGAAGTAGGAAAATAATGCTACATTGTGAGAATTACAATCAGTGCCCAGTCCCACAGCCTCTAAGTGTCAGGCTCATGGTCATAACCTCGCCATGTGTCTAAAATAGGGACAGTCACACGTTCTTAAAGAGTAAGATGGAAGAGATGGACTAGGTGGCACTTTCGAGTAAACATTGACTGCTAACTGCAAGGTTGGTGGTCTAAATTCACCAGCCACTTAGAGGGAGAAACATGAGGCTCTCTACTGCCTAAAGTAATTACAGCCTTGATAACCTCTGTCTTCCAGGGGTCTATGGACTGGGCTTGAAGACGGGGTTATTTTGGTACAGTTTAAGAATAGAATGCGACTCTATTCCCAGTTTTGCTTGCACTGAGTTAAAAAATGGCATTCATGTTTTTCTTCTCTTTTTTCCCCCAAATCTTCTCAAAGATGATATAGCAGATGCTACAAATATTATTGACTGGGAGAAACAGAAATTCCATACACCAAATTTTAGGTGAAAGTCTACGGAACAGAGAAAATAAGCTTAAGTTAAATTGTGGTGACACATTCATAAAAGTGTGAAGCCATTTAGTTTCCCTGGGTTTTATGGAAAACACCTTTAAAATGCCACAAACATGTCTAATAAGACATCAGCTGTAAATATTAGCTGTCTATTTCCTTGAAATATAACTTAGACTTGATGGCTAGGACAAGAAAACGTCACATTCCTTCCCCTTGCGAAGGAAATTGCATATTTCCTTTGCAAAACTAAAGAATACACGGTCTTCCTAAGAGTGTATTTGATTGTTTTGTTTCAGGTTCAAGGTGTCTATAAATTTTCTTGATTGTCTGAAAATGGAAAAAAAGAAAACCACTAACCTTCAGGCATACAGGTTTTGTTTTAAATCATTATTACAAACGGCATTTGTGCTCTATCACCTGCCGTTTTCTAAGTATTACCGTGATACATGAAATTTCACTTGCAATTCATGTGTTTTCTTTCGTTCTTGTCCACGTTCTAAAGAGAACGTAATGTTCTGTTGTGACCAGCATTTTTGAAGCCAATGAACCTGCATTTTCCTAAGTGGAAAAATGGAGCAGGATCGTGGGCGGTTTACTGCTGATGAATGGGCGGTGTTTGGTTTGTGGTTGAAAGGGTCCCCGGTCCCCTAAGCTTTGGCTGAGACATTCCTTTGATTTGAGCCCTGAGATGATTCTGGAAACACAGAGCCCCTTTGAAAACATAGGTCAATCAAATGTCCAGGTTTTTACTCAATTGAGAAGGAAAAGTTTAACAGCAATACCCAACAAAAGGGCTTTATGTGTATTTATCTAGGTAGTCCTCACATTGACCTTATTAGGTAGGTTCTGCAATTGTCTCCCTTCCTGATGTCTTACAGAGGAGAAAACCAAGGTCCTAAGAACGCAAAGACTGGCAACCCCCCCATAGTCTCTAAGGAGCAGTCTCCTGCTCTGAATACTCAGACGGCTCGAAAATAGTGGCAAGTTTTTCTTCCTGATGAAGAAGAAGATGAATGAGCGAGACAAGGTGGGAGAAGTCACGGAACCGTATTTTGTTAAGTGCTGCCCTCCTTACACCTTCAGAACACAATCCAAGATGTTAGAACTTGAAAAGGGAAAAACAATAGGGAAGACAAGCTGACGGTCACAGAATTTCAAAGGACCACGTCAAGAGCTCTGCTAGGAACAGGAAAGTCTCCAGCTCAGCTTGTTGCCTCCTTCTGGGCTGTTCTAGTGAGAGGCTCTATTAGCTTCCACTAGGGCTTTGCTGGTCTCTGAGGAGGTTCCAGGTTGAAGAGCTAGTCAAGGCTTTGTGGGGAGTCCAGCATACCTGACCCAACTGTGAGAGAATGTTAGTCCTTTGTCCAATTCATAGGATACTGCTTAGATAGGTGTGGGCAGAGTTGTGGCGATTTTTTTCTTTGTTTCCCCTCAGTACTAAGTATACAAGAGATGTGTAGGATCAGAACTGTCAAGTGTCCTTAAATAACTCCTAATTTTACTTAACAGTAAATAAAATAAAATAGAAAAGACCTTGCATTTGGATTCAGGCCCAATAATTTCCCTCCTTAAGGAGCTTAAATTGTGAACACCTGATTTGCAGAAGGCTATGCATAACAGTGGAAGCCCCAAATCCAACTGAAGGGTCCCCAAGTGCTTAAGCCTCCTGGGAATCCTCTCCCACCCTAGTGGAGGGATGTGAATAGCCTTGCTGTCATACAGAGAGCCTCGTACAGTTGATTATAGCAAATGTAGTGAGGTTAAACTGTAATACCCTATCATTTGATCTCCATTTGACCAGTCTAAAGTTAATGTTTTCTCCTTTCTCTTTGATTGGGGTTTTTCTCTTTTGTCTAATCATTGTTGTTTGATTTTTGTTTGTTTGCTTGATTTCAAAAACTTTGTATGATTGTGCTTTACGTTGTATGATTTTCTGCATGTGAAATCCAGGATAGGTAAGAGGCGGGGGCGTGGCAGGGGAGGATGGGGGAAACGGGGAGCTCACAACAGTGAATATGAGAATAAAATGTTCTGAAATTGATTATGATGATGGTTGCACAAATCTTAATATGATTGAATAACTAAAGTGTTGAATTAGGAAGTATATGCCAATAAAACTATTCAGGATAGAATAAACTAGAGTGTATTTTAATAATAAAATGTCAAACATAGCATTTTCTCTATTCTGTACATATTTATAAGGAAGATATGGTTGTATTTCAGACATCGGCTTATCAGAAAGTAAGATATCCAAAATACATTGGGAAAATGTATAAAGAGTTTCTATTGCAGGCATCTTTAAAAAATTAAGCTACTTTAGTCATTTGCACCATAATTTCTCTGCATTTCAGAAGTATACACTGTATATTTAATAGGCATATAAAAGCATTAATAACTGATTAGAATAATTTTGTAATTTTAATGCTCTCCAAATTATGAGAAAATACTGTCATCTATAGAACTCACCTTTTGCCCGTTCATCCCAGGAATGCCAGGCGCTCCAACAGAACCCTAAGTGGACACATGATGACTATCGTAAGTACAAGATATTTAATATTTTGTTTATATCTCAGTTTATATTGCATTGGTTAGTCATTGCTTACCTTGCTACAACATTCTACTCTATTATGTTGCATTCCTTAGAATCTTAATTATGCTGATGGCAACCTTTTCTTCCTAGTGAAGGCTGTTTCCCCACCTTCTATAGTCTTCCATTTAAACATATACTGCAGACTATGCTCCTTGCCACTTACGCTATGTTCAAATGTATAATATCATAGAAAGCTTAAAGACCCACTGCGACAGCATGGATTCTGACTCCTAGCGACCCTATCTAGGTTGTCTATGGCTGTAAATCTTTATAGGAGCAGACAGTCTCACCTCCCCAGAAGTGGCTGGAGGGTTTAAACTGCCAACCTTGGAGTTAGCAGTCCAACGCTTACCTGACTGTGCCACCAGCACTCCTGTAAGCTTCCCCACAAAGAGGAGAGTTACAATCTCACCACCTTGTTTCTAAATACAGACTGAACTCTCATATATATATCACGCATCATAAACTGAGATCCATACCTATCAAAAAGCTATATGATTAAATTTCAAGATGCAAACAGGCCTATTTCTATCTGGGAAAAGCCTAGCAGTGATTGTAGTGACAGAATTTCTTTGAACTATGTGTTTAAATACTATAAACCAAACCCTCTGCCATCAAGTTGATTCTAACTCATAGTGACCCTACCAGGCACAATAGAACAGTCCTTTGGGTTTGGGAGACATTAAATCTTTAGGGAAGCAGCAGCCTCACCTTCCACTGTGGAGTTACTGGTAGGTTTAAACCCTTGACCTTGAAGTTAGTTAACAGCTCAATTTGTACCACCAGGACTCCTCTCATAAACCAAAAAGCAATGAAAAGAACAGTTTCTTGTTCTTCAGCGAAGCAAATAAAAGACCATTGCTACAAACGCATATTTCCTGTATTTGAACCATTTCCCCTTTCGCTTTCAGGGAGTGCATGAAGGTGTCTTCCAAAGTGGGCGAGAAAGGTGTCAGAAATGTCCAGTACTGACCAGGCACAATACAACTCAGCTGTATTGTCCCAAAAGCAAAATTCGTTCTGTGTGCTTGCGAATGCACATGCGTGCGTGTGTGTGCCTGCCTGTGTGTGCACATGATGAAATATGAATGGTTGGATATAGGTAGAGTAACCTGAGAATAGAAAGCTAATTACTATCGTAGACAATCTAGGACACTTAAGCGGACACAGAAACTTTAGCTAACATTTCAAGTAGTGATGTCATTTCCTTCCATTAGGCCCCCCCTTTATTTTTGAATCTGGAGAAACCATTTTAACATACAACGTGCTTATTCTTTTTCTAACATTGGAAAACGGGTTTTCAATAGATGCGTGATATTACATGTCTTTAGAAATAATTGAAGAATTATTAAAATAGCATTTATAAGCAAAACCAATTAAATAGCAACTTCCTTAGCGTGTTCCCTGGTTATATTGAGTGGGTCACTAACGGGCTTCCTGGGGGCTGAAACAGTAATTTTATCCTGGTTGCATGTGGATTAGGGTAGCTTTACAATTTCACACCATACTTAATAGAGGCATGATTGCCAAGGACAAAGTGTTCCTACGCACAACCCGTCTGACCAGTCACCGGCGTTTACTCGGTTTGCAGGATTATGTTTCAACAGATGCCACATGCATTGCTTGAGGGATAAAAGTGTCCATCTTTGAGGGATTCCAAGGGTAAATAAGAATCACTTTTCCACCTGTCCAGATACTATTGTTTTCCCTCGTGCTCTGTAGGTCACAGCTGCCTTTTCTCGCTCCGTGGGCGGCGGCGTGGCGGAGGGAGACTGAGTGATGTTTTGCTGCCATGAATATGTTTCAGGCTGTGGCACTGGCGTCAATCCTGGAAGGCTCAGGTCTTCTCCATCGAACTGTAACGGTCCATTCTGATGAGTGTGAATCATGAACGGACTAGCAGGAAGTCACCTTTCAGGCTATCTCCACAAAGGGAGACACTAGTGAGGGACTTGAATGCAGCCCCGCAATGCCTATGTCTCTTGCGCTGGGTAGTTCTGCGGTCATTTCATAATCATGTACTGGAGAAAGGCGGTGCATTCAACTTGCAATGTCATGGGACCTTCCACATTTTAAGTTTTGTTTCAATGGCTTACCGGTATGTGAATTAAAGCTTCAATAACCTCTAAGTATAGCACGGTTAGGATAGAATCCACTTTGTACCTATTACATGTTTTTAGAATCATGGAGTCTATTAGAAATCTAATGGCTAGGGCGATACAATTGTACATAGTTTTGAGAATGCACAAATCAGACCAACTGCTTCAGCCTGGCCAACAGCAGCTCATTCTAGTCACCTTCCATGCTAGCCATCACACAACTGGAGTGTAAAGATGTGCACAATATTTGTAGTTTGTACTCTACCTTTTGTCCAGGAGCACCCAGAGGACCCTATAAAAGAAAAAGAAAATTAGTATAATACTGTAGCCACTTTGGCTTGACCAATTAAACCAATCTTATTTTGAATGCCTCCCTTTGTGTTGAAATCTGCTACTGTTTTGTGCATCAAGAAAAAAAAATCTTGTTGGAAGTACACAACGGATCTTTTCTCGTTTGCTTTCATTTGAAGACCATTAAGCAAACGCAGTAGGATTCTGATTTTATTTTCCTTTAAAGAAAATCGTTGCTGTTCCAATCATCTATTTCTTCAAATACCTCCAAATGTACCACATCTGTCTCATTGAGAAGGCTAGAGATGCTGTGAGCATCGGTTACAAAGCAGTGCGGGCCCCCGGCAAATGGACACATTACATAGCTTCTGCATCTGCCAAAGCTCAGTAAGCAGATTTGCAAAGGAAATACTCGAATACCATTACAAAGAGACATGTTTTGTTCTATCCTTCCTCTGATGAAATGCGGCCAACTGACCTGCACAGAAACTTGTTTACAAACTAGAAGATGCCAACATCAACCGAGGCCCCTAGTGTGGACCAGAAAGGAGAACAAAAGATGCTTCCGCTGTTGCTTATACTTGGAGACTGAGAGGGGGCTGGAAAGAAATACAATATTTAGAGAGATGAATGGGAATATTTATACATAAAATGGAAATGTGGCAGTTCTGAGATTTGGCAGGTTTTCAACTACAAAGTCAGTGTCAGGGTTCTGTTGGCTTTATTGACAGACAGGCAAAGCTCTGGGGCCATCTTCTGTGAGAGTTTGCTGGGAAAAGCACAAACAATTCTAAGTAATCACATCCATTTGTAAATGAAAATATGAAGCACTTTTGCCTAATTTTAAAAGAATGTATTGAGCTATATGTTATTAGCGCCTATAGATGCGCCATCATATTTTTTGGTAGAAAGCTCTTTATTCCCTTGCAGTTATAGACGGTTACCTTATTTCTAATGTGTGACATTTCAATCGAATAGCATCTTGCACTCACATTCAGAAACACTGAACACCAAGGGTGGCCATTAGTGGGAAAATTGGTCAAACATAATTTTTTAGGAAAAAAAAAAGCTATCACATTCAGGACCCTTCAGGACATCTCTTCTCCATAAGTTATTTTGTAATCTTCCCAAGAAGATGTCCCACAATTCCTATATACACTGGGTTTAAAGTTATTAAAAGTACACCATGCAATTCTACCTTTCTATATTACTTTTTGATGATTTCAACCCACCAGTTTTTTTGGTTTGCCTTTAGAAAACCAAACAATAGACAACCAACTTCTTAATGAGTTGGCTATGTGACAGGATCAGACATTCCCCCTACCTATTACTCACCCTTTCTTATTCACTTCCTTGTTTTAGGTTTTGCGAAGAAACTAGAGACTATCAGGTGTGAATTCTCATAAAATTATGTCCCTAACCAACAATCCACATGGCTCTCCTCGCAATGTCAGAGAAAGAAGGGTCCCCCCTGGTGGACTCTGGAATTCATCCTTGCCCTTTCCCCCAGGAATTGGTTCTCCATCAATTATCCCTGCATCCTGATCAGTCCCTCTCCACTGCTTCCTTCCTCTCAGCACATAAACATGTTTAATCATTTCCTCACTTGGGCATATCGTTTGGGACGTGAATGTTTACGCTAAGTACAGGCAAAATTTGAAGTGTGTGCTGATAGCAGATCTGAGAGTGAAGAAAGACTTGGTTTTTATCATTATCTCTGATTCTGTTTTCCCAAGAGCCTCCAAGGCCTTTGCTTTTTAAAATGTTTAGGTTAGAAAGGAAATCATACAAAAAAACACATTAATTCATTGTTTAGACTCAGTCTGTAATGCTTCATTCACAAAGGGTTGTATCTCATTGGAAACCTAACTTTGCCGCTTGAAAAAATACTGTCCACTAAAACAGGCTCTTTCATTATATGAGCAAATTGTAAATCAAACGTTTTGGCTTGAGAGTAACACACTTGGTATTTTTTTATCTGTTCTGTGTTACATAAACACATAAAATCAGAAACTTCATTTTCTCACAATTCTTAGATGCACATTATATTAGTTGTATATTTTATCACAACATTTATTGAAAGTTGGCCATAAGGGAAGTAAAGATAACATTTTTTTCACACTAGGAAACTTCTACTACCTTTGTTAAACCATTAATTTTGAATGGTGCATACATATCTTATAGTTTATCTCTAACCATATTGCCAAGCATATAGCCGCGGGTACCAAAAATGTACATAAACTTCTTTGATCTCATCTGTAGGAAAAATGGCAGAGTGTCAAAGACAGAGACATCTATTCCTAGGCAGGAACTGAGAGTAACAACTCACACAACTCCGCGATCGAGTTGATGCTGACTCATAAGGGCCCTAGAGGACAAGGCTGCAACTCTGCTTAGGAGCAGACAGTCCAATCTCTACCCCTCAGCGTGGCTGGTGTTTTTTAACTGCTGCCCTTGCAGTTAGCAGCCCAACGTTCAGTCACTCCACCACCGAGCCCCTTCCTGAGAGTAAAGAAGACCTGAATGCAAGACTCAGACATACATTTGAGTAAGCACACATAAACACATACACACCCTGTACAGCTTTTTCTCTGATCGGGATTTGACTTCTATCTATCTTTTGAGCATCCTTAAATTAAAGTTACATTGTACATCTGTAGCACTGAGCTAGTTCAATGTAAGCACACCAACTTAGACATCACTGCTCAAAAACATACTGTGAAATTAGAGTATTTTGCTACTAGTTGTTTAAGATGTCTATCTGTCAATAAACTTGAGGCATCTAGATTGAATTTACAAATTAACTGCAATATATTAATTTAAATATAAATACAAAGCTGTAAAATAATGGAGAAACACCACAGAATCATTTAACAAGTTATTTATCTAAGTTTTCTTAACCTTATTTATATTTTCCACATGAATGACAACATGAATAAACAATGTCATAAGTTCACTAGTCACAATGGTCTCACTTACTTTTTTAAACATTCCATGTCCATATCATTTCTTCCTGATTTGACAAGTTTAGATCGAATGACTTTCTAAACCAAAGTCATAATCTGTGTTTATTAGCTATCAAAGTGCCTCTTTCTTAGACATTTCCTTGGTGTGCTCACTTATATTTGCATATACTTTGCAAACAACCAATATAGGTTCTGTATGATATGAAATACAGGAACTTTCTTCTTGTTGTTGAGGAATTTCGCATCATGGGCATAGTTTTGTACAAAAAATAGCAGACCAATTGAACCACAGGGGGAATCACAAGGGGCTGTTACTTGACAGACCTGCATACAAAATATTCTGCCAATGTGTACACCGATGTCTTCAGGATTGTTTAGAAAGACCACAGAGAGAGCTAATACAAAAACTTGCACATAAACAAGAAAGTACATAGTGTACAGTGATTTTCTTTCCTGTGTTCCTCGCTTTTACATGTTCCATTTCCAAAGGTGACAGTGAGAATTTCGTGAGATAAAACTTAAACAACATGGTAGCCCATATGTTGGTGATTGCCTTTACCAAAAACAATGTACGCTGGCCAAAGGGTGATTCCTCAGAGGCGCAAACATAGGAACGACAGTGAGGATGCGCAGGACCAGGCAGTGTTCCCATCTGCTGTGGATAGGGGTGCTATGGGTTGGAACCAATTAAATGGCACCAAATTCCTTACTTCTCCCTCCCCGAGTCTACTAGAGAATTACCCAAGCAATTCTCTCTTGCTCTCCAACTGAAAGTTCCCTATCTTCCTGTTCAGAGCAATTCTCTTTCCATCTGCCTAATAGTGACATCCATCCAATGGTCATGCTGCTGCCTGAACAAGCTTTCTGAAAGACTAACGGGTTCGTATCTTTCTTCTGGTTTTCCCTAGTCCAAATTTCAGGAATCATTCTAATTTGCCACAAACTTGAGATGCCGTGCTTCCCATCTGGACACTGCTGCCTGCAACAGGCTTCCTTCGCTCTGTTCTTCTGTCCTCCACCCATTGTATGATTCAGAGCTCACCGACCGCTCCCCTCAGCACAGCCTTCTTTTTCTCCAAAGCACATTGGCCATAGAATTTACCACACAGTGCTGCAACTGCCAGGCCACTGCTTACTTCACTCTATGAGGCTTTGATCTTGTACAGAAGCTTAAACATAGTCATCACACAGTAAAGCTTTTTGAGTTTCTCCATTTCTTCTCTCACTGAACAGTTTGAGTTCCCAGTGAGCGATAAGCACTATGCCAGATACTTGAGATTCAGTAGTGACTGGAGTAAACAAACATGCATATATGCCTGGAATTTATAGTCTAATGGATAGAGACAGACAATAACTATGTAGAAATATGAAGCGTGAAGTCGGGGCATGTGGGAAGTGCTCCAGGAGAAAAAAAGAAGAGAGAGATGTGGTGGTACTTTACATTGAAGGGGCGGGTCAATGAAGGACTCCGTGATAAGTAAGCCAATCGGGTAGAGAGCCATGCTTATAGAAAGGGAAATGTTTCAGATAAAGCCAACAAAAGGGATAGGAACAGCGTGCTACATGTGTTCAAGGAACAGCAAGAAGGAAGAATAGTAGGAGATGGGGGTCAAGATCAGGAAGGGAGGCCTGCAGATGACTGTGAGAACCCTAGTGGCATAGTGGTTACACACTGAGATGCTAACCGAAAAGTCAGCAGTTCAAAACCACCAGCCAATCTGAGGGAGAAAGACTGGGTTTTCTATTGAAGTAAAGAGTTACCATCTGGGAAATTCACATGGTGGAGTTCCACCCTGCCCTATAGGATCACTATAGGGTCACTATAGGGCCACTGTAAGATGGCATGGACTCAATGATGATGAGGATCATAAGAATGAATGATGAGGGCAATGAATGTATAAATGTGCTTTACACAGTTGATGTATGTATGGATTGTGATAAGAGTTGTATGAGCCCCTAATAAAACGATTAAAAAAAAAGAATTAAACAAAAAAAAAAGAAAATGATGATGGAAACAAATGTACAAATGTGCCTT